CGCGATTCTCATCGTTCTCGTTGTCGGAGTGACGGGAACTCAAGTGACCAATGTAGCCTTTGCGTGATTTAAAATATGCGTTACAGCTATGGCACTTGAAAAGCGGAGCCGGTTGAGCCACCTGAGTCGACACGTGCAGCTTGTACTTGTGCCTGTACCAACGAGTTCGCGATGGTAGCACCTCGCCGCACCACTTGCAGACTACGGAACCGTCGTTTTGAATGAGGTATTCCAGCAGCTTGGGAAAAATAACGTTTATTTTTAAAATCCAAAATAACAATTTAGGAATTGAATTAAAAATTATCTAGAAACTAGTTAGATCCATCTCCATGTCGAAATGAAAAATCGCATCGCGGACAACCAACCTGCTTCCTGACCTCCGGCTCGCTCTCGCCGGCTTCTGATTTAGATAGCAAAAGGTCGGTCCGATCCTCTTCCGCGCGATCTGTCAAAAAGTGAACGCCACTGACTACCCTCTCGGCCTTGATGAAAGCGCCGGTACCCTCGTCGTCGCCGCCGCCATGCGTCACCGAGGACGGGGTCGACGAAGTCGGGGCAGCGGGCGACGACGGCGACGACGAGCTGCAGATTTCGAAGGTGATGTCACTCGGCAGCTGCGGCAGCAACTGATCTGCCGATCGCACATGCAATGAGAAAAAAAGGTAGACGGCTTGAATTAAACACCGTTACCCGATCTTGATACCACGAGGAGCCAATCGTCGACAAGAGCAATTCACTTATTCTAATTGATACCAGTCAGTGCTAAAATACTTGAAAAATTTTCGGGTGTATCTAAAATTTTATTTAAAATATTATTTAAATATTTAACACTGCATCTCTAAATCTCTCCGAATAAGTTTAGAAATAATCGGCAAATTCTTGCGTCGAGTACCATTTCACATTTTGTTTAAGTGTCCTTATCGTTAGTTAATTATATCAAGTTAGTTAGGGGCTCTCTCTTTCTCTCTCTCTCTCTCTAGTTTATTAAATAGTGTAATTTCTTTTTTTTCAATTTTTAATATTATATAGCCTTATATTTAAAACAATAAATTAAGATATTATTAAAATAAATATAAACTTTATTATAAATTTGGAAGAGTGCAAGAGATAAAGTTTAGGAATAAACTTAATTTGCTAACCCCTTGGAGTGTGTTTGTAACTCGCAAGCTGACTTATATCTTAAAAGCTCACAATATTCTTCTTGGATATAAAGATTTATCAAGAAAAAATGCGCTGAAGTATACACCCTGTATACAAAAAATTCGACACGCGACAAATCTACGCGAGGAGTTATGTTTGCAGAGAGTGGAGAATAATACAAGAGACATACTCCGCTAAACTATTGCAATGTATATCACAAAAAGTTACAAAGAGAGAAACTACAATTAGATAAAAACAAATAAAAATATGATAATAATCATTATTAGATTGTGTGTGTTATCGTTTTTCTCGCCAGGCACCAAAGATATACATATAGGTACATCCGAAACGTATATAATCATAGGACAGGTTCCGCGACATACAACGATAATGTGCGAACGTGTGCATCTTACTTCTTCACCTGTATTATTGTTCTCCAATGCATATATATGTATATGCGTGGAACACGTACATATATATATTTTTTTTCATATATAATATATATATATATATATATAATATAATAGATTTTCTTTTTCATTCGCAACGTGTGTATATTTTTTTTATAAATCACTTTCGAAATGCGTACAATCTCTGCCCCCTCCTCCTATTGCAGACACAATTGCTACATCGAGAATAATCGGTTCAGCGATATATCTGTAAAACTTTTTCCGACAAATTACCATCCTATAAAAGAGCATGTACGTTTATATTGCATATATTAAAATATTTAAAATAATTATATATACAAATTGATGTTAATCAATTTGTAAATTAATTAATTTAAATTCTATAATTCTATAATTTTTTTTTAAGGAATGTAAATCAAAAAATTATAAGATGCTTAGTAGGATTAAAATTTCAAAGAATTTAATTTTGTTTTAAATCCTTTTTTTTCGATTGTATACATCATTTTATAAAAATGTTGTCGGAGAAAATTTTCGCAAATGCCCGCTGCTAATGAAAAATTGATATAAATCTTCTCTCTCGTTTTCGGAAGACATTGAAAGAGACACGATAGTATGAATACTACGTACGAGTTTTTTTTTATTAATTTGTTTCACCGTCATTACTAAAAAAATACGCTTTTTTCTTTTCATAATCTTCGAAAATTTATTGGTTGCTCATGCGATCGATTAATTGTAACCAATCGCAAATGCAATTTTAATTTGTAGAATAAAATTTATGCACGATTGTTAAATGAATTGTTAAACGAATCGATCCTTTCCTCTTTCGTACGACAAATTTTGAAAAAAATAGAAGAGGGGCGACATAATTATCGTTTAAAACTCTCTTTCTTTGTCTATATATAATATATGTACCATTTAACGCTTAAATAAAATATCTGCATCGTGTGAATAGAATAATATATATATAATATAATAATATTAATAATATAATCGCATTTTACTACGTCTCGCGTTTCGCTCCGCTGAACGCACCGCGTCTTCTTTAAAGCCTAAACGCGTTTCGCGCGCTCCTCCAACTTATATCTGCTATGTTACAGATAATAAAATTGGAAAATCAAATAATAAACGTTAATTTGACATTTAATGTGTCAAAAAAATAGCAAATAACGCTATAGTAACGTAGCAATATATTTATAATAGTAATCGTATGAAACTAAAACCGTAAAAAGTAAGTTCGCCGGTGCTTGCGACGCGCCTTGGAAAACTGACAATGAGAGGAAAGGTGACATGCGTTCTTAGACGCGTTATCGGAAGGCCTTGCTTCGAGATATTATTGTCTTTAGCCCGTAATGTTAATTAAACAAATTGATCGAAACAAATCTAAGATACTTTCTGTTCAGTAATATAAATGTAATATTAAATAATTTTAAAGAAAAATTATTTTTAGAATTTTTAAAGTTTCATAATCTTTTTTTTTAGGAAGAATAATCATCACAGATTTGTGGTATCAGCAGATAATGTTTTATATATACTTAAAAAACTATGATTTTAGAATTCTATGGCTTAAATAAAATTGCATCGTGAATAAAACAAAGTTAGAATTTTATATCGAAAATTTACGAAGGGAAGATCCACGATGATCGAATCATTCTTTCGCAAACGTTATTACACGTGGTCTCGTGTAACAGAAAAACTATCAATGTAACTTTGATATCTGAAGGCAAAGGCTATCGCGGACTCCTACTGAGAAAGAAATCACAAACACCCCCCCCTCCCTTCCCACTACGATTGGCAACCATTGAAAGCGCTTTTTAACAACCTTAACTCTAAAAGTTCAACAACATCGAGAAGGCAACGAACGTGAGCGAATTTCTCTCTTCCCTTTAAACATCATAAATTTAAACAACGGGTCTCAAGATCAGTCGCTGCAAATATCGCACTTTAACAGCAATTTACCCTGATCACGAGCCTTTAGATGCCGGCAAGGTATCCAGATCGAATTCGAGGCTGGCCGATCTGCTCACGTGCTATCATCGTGTGTCGCAAAGTGCTCTCTGTAACTGCCTTGATTGCCACAAAAGGATGTGATAATGTTAACAATCATCACAGGATATTTGTTGACCTGTGTCGTGAAATTTTACGGTGATAGAAAATAGAATAATTAAAATTTATGTGATGACACTGAAAGATTTCACAGAATCCTACGAGAACTATTAAAACTTATTCTAGAAATTAAAAACTGATTTCAACTTTGTATATATAAATTTATATACAAAGCGTTCCTAAAATTTTTTTGAACATTTGTTAAGAGAATAATCGGTTCAGCGATATATCTGTAAAACTTTTTCCGACAAATTACCATCCTATAAAAGAGCATGTACGTTTATATTGCATATATTAAAATATTTAAAATAATTATATATACAAATTGATGTTAATCAATTTGTAAATTAATTAATTTAAATTCTATAATTCTATAATTTTTTTTTAAGGAATGTAAATCAAAAAATTATAAGATGCTTAGTAGGATTAAAATTTCAAAGAATTTAATTTTGTTTTAAATCCTTTTTTTTCGATTGTATACATCATTTTATAAAAATGTTGTCGGAGAAAATTTTCGCAAATGCCCGCTGCTAATGAAAAATTGATATAAATCTTCTCTCTCGTTTTCGGAAGACATTGAAAGAGACACGATAGTATGAATACTACGTACGAGTTTTTTTTTATTAATTTGTTTCACCGTCATTACTAAAAAAATACGCTTTTTTCTTTTCATAATCTTCGAAAATTTATTGGTTGCTCATGCGATCGATTAATTGTAACCAATCGCAAATGCAATTTTAATTTGTAGAATAAAATTTATGCACGATTGTTAAATGAATTGTTAAACGAATCGATCCTTTCCTCTTTCGTACGACAAATTTTGAAAAAAATAGAAGAGGGGCGACATAATTATCGTTTAAAACTCTCTTTCTTTGTCTATATATAATATATGTACCATTTAACGCTTAAATAAAATATCTGCATCGTGTGAATAGAATAATATATATATATAAAAACTATGATTTTAGAATTCTATGGCTTAAATAAAATAATTGCATCGTGAATAAAACAAAGTTAGAATTTTATATCGAAAATTTACGAAGGGAAGATCCACGATGATCGAATCATTCTTTCGCAAACGTTATTACACGTGGTCTCGTGTAACAGAAAAACTATCAATGTAACTTTGATATCTGAAGGCAAAGGCTATCGCGGACTCCTACTGAGAAAGAAATCACAAACACGTGCACATTTCCTCTCATACGATATATATATATATATATATATATATATATATATATATATCTTTTTCTCTCTCTCTCTCTCTCTCTCTCTACATATATGTATTCTTTTAAATAACTCTCTTTTCTCACATACGCATGTACTTACATTTTCACATTTTATGTCTTTCTCTCTCACACACATACACGGATAACACCAATGCGGAAGACGAAAATACTGCTTTCGGTTCTCGGTGCTCCCTCGAAAGCTCTTGCGAGGTCGATTCATTAATAGAGATGTACATATACACGCAGAAATTGTACTTGTCTTCGTAATTCTTGAAGAATTAAATGACAGCTGGTGTCATCCCTCATCTTCTCACTCTCTCTCCTTCTCATTCTTTCTCTCTTGTTGTCAACGATATTCCGAATTGGAAATAGATCTCTTCGTTTGGATTTTTTTGCAGGCAAGGAAAAGGGAAACAAGAGATCCATACATTATGTATGCGTCTCTGCAAAATATCTGTGTACATATACAACATATAACGTCTTCTCTCTATGTGCGCGTGCGTCTATGTGTGCATTCGCTTACATACTTAATATAATAATAATAATTAGTTTAATAATAACCAATTTTATATCCATGCTGGTCCAGAGCTAAAAGATAATAATCCTTATCGAACAATAATAATAATAAAAATAATAATAATAATATAATAAGCTGTAATATAATAACAGTGACAATAAAAATAATGTTATGGTTGTATCAATAGCAAGTGCGAAAGTAATCGATAATAGCAAGTAACTAGTTAATATAATCAATAATCAATAATGCTATAATACACTTCCTCGAGAAACAAAAAAAAAAAAAAACAGGAAAGAAAAGGAAGAAACCTGTACACCAGACAAGATTACACTATACAGGATATATTCCCCATATTCTTTCGAATCTTTTTTTTCTTTTCTTTTCTCTCTCTCTCTCTCTCTCTTTCTCTCTCTC